TTTTGAGGCAAAGTCTCACTCTGTCACGGAGGCTGGAATGCAGTGGCATAATTCTTGGCTCACTGCAACCTCCGCCTCCCAGGTTCAGGCAATTCTCCTGCCTCAGCATCCTGAGTAGCTGGGATTATAAGCATGTGCCACCATGCCCAGCTAATTTTTGTATTTTTAGTAGAGAGGAGGTTTCACCATGTTGGTCAGGCTGGTCTCGAACTCCTGACCTTGTGATCCACCTACCTCGGCCTCCCAAAGTGCTGGGATTACAGGTGTGAGCCACCGTGCCTGGCCTCCACTACAGTATTAAATAACAATGGTGAAAGCAGGCATCCTTGTCAAGCTCCTGATCTTAGGAGTAAAGCTTTTAGTCTTTCACCATTGAGTATGATGCTAGCTGTGGGTTTTCCATAAATCCCCTTTATCATGTTAAGATAATTCCCATCTATTCATCACTTTTTGATTGTTTTTATCATGAAAGAGTGTTAGATTTTGTCAAATGTATCGTCTGTATCCATTTGGATGCCCTTCTCCAATATGTCATTTTAAAATGCAAATTTATTTATTTCATACTAAGAAGGAGTTTTTGTTTGTTTGTTTGTTTGTTTTAAATATCTATTAAGCTCTGAACCAAGTAACGTACTTTTGTGGCCTAATTTTTAGGCTCTATTCTTCATCAAAACTAGGCTGTTTACTACTGAGGTAGGTAGGATAACGGTTCCCCCAGAATATTCACATGATATTCCCTGGAACCTGTGAATGTTAGATTATATGTCAAAGAGAATTTAGTCGTTAATCAGCTGACCTTAAAGTAGGGAGATTATTCTGGATTATCCAGGGGATCCCAATGTAATCACAAGAGTCCTTAATTGTGGAAGAGGGAGGCATAAAATGAGTTAGAGGATATGTGACTTTGGAAGAAAGGCCCAGGTAAATGAAACATTGGCATTGCTTTGAAAATAGAATAGGGAAGTCCAAGGGCAAAGATTGGCCTTTAGTAGCTAGAAAGGGCAAGGAAAGGGATTTTTCCTTAGAGCCTCTAGAAGGGAATGCAGTGCTACCAACACATTGATTTTAGTCGTGTAAGAGAAATGATAGACTTTGACCTACAGAAATGTAAAATTATAAATTTGTAGTGTTTACACCAAGTTTGTGGTATTTTATTACAGTAGCAATAGAAAACAAATACAAGCACCCAAGCATATTTTATTCTACTATTTATAGTGTTGGTTTATTTATCCAGAAAAACTCATGTCTGAAATTCCCATAGGTTGTTTAAATTGTTATTGTTAAATGAAGGCCCATCTTAAAGCTTCTTCAACCACAAAGCCTTTTATCTTCCACCCCACCTCCCATGCATTCGTTCACTGCCCAAATATACCAAGTTTCTCTCTTCTCTCTCTCTTTTTTTTTTTTTTTTTTTTTTTGAGCTGGAGTTTCACTCTTGTTGCTCAGGCTGGAGTGCAATGGTGCGATAACTGGCTCACTGCAGCCTGCGCCTCTCAAGTTCAAGTGATTCTCCTGCCTCAGCCACCTGAGTTGCTGGGATTACAGGCACTCACCATCATGCCCGGCTAAATATTTTTAGTAGAGATGGGATATCGCCATGTTGGTCAGGCTGGTCTCAGACTCCAGACCTCAGATGATATACCTACCTTGGCCTCCCAGAGTGCTGGGATTACAGGTGCGAGCCATCTCGCCCTCCCTTCCCCTCCCCTCCCCTCCCCTTCCCTTCCCTCTCCTCCCCTCTTTTTTGAGATAAGAGTCTCACTTTGCCGCCCAGGCTGGAGTGCAGTGGCTCGATCTCTGCACACTGCAACCTCTGCCTCCTGGGTTCAAGCGATTCTCTGCCACAGCCTCCCAAGTAGCTGGGATTACAGGTGCCCACCACCACACCCGGCTAATTTTTCTATTTTTAATAGAGCTGGAGTTTCACCATATTGGCCAGGATGGTCTCGAACTCCTGACCTTGTCATCCACCTGCCTTGGCCTCCTAAAGAGCTGGGATTACAGGGGTGAGCCACTGCACCTTTTTCTGTAGTATCTTTTAACATGCCTTACAGTATCTAACCATAATGTAATGTTTTAGAATATAATATTTGGTATTTATTTTACTTAAATTTTATTTAAAAATGTTTTGTATTGATAATGATTACACATATACATAATATAGTTTCTGTGTGTCTAAATTAGGGTTGCATATAAGCTTTTTGTACTTCATGTAGTTATACCCCCAATTTCTTATAAATCTATCTGAAAACAAAGGGATATATATTTGGCTGCTTCTAAGACAATTGAATCTTGATTTATCATGTTTGTCTTATTTATTATTATTATTTTTTTTGAGATGGAATCTCGTTCTGGTGCTTAGGCTGGAGCACAATCTTGGCCCACTGCAACCTCGGCCTCCTGGGTTCAAGCGATTCTTCTGCCTCAGCCTCCCAAGTAGCTGGGATTATAGGCGCCTGCCACCATCCCCGGCTAATTTTGTATTTTTTTTTTTTTTTTTTTTTCTCCCCGACTTTTTTTTTTTTTTTTTTTTTTTTTTTTTTTTTTGAGACGGAGTTTCGCTCTTGTT